TATTGCCCCAATTTGAAATTTTAAGTTGGATCGCCCCAAATTGAAATTTAGATTTGGGGCAGATCATCAACTTGGGGCACAACAGTATGATTGCCAAGTTTGTCATCTGTTCAACAGAACCACTAGTCGAAAAAGGAATATTCGGCCTTAATACAATTTGGCCTATATTCGACTAGAATTAATAAAATTCAACTTCAATTAGTAAAGATCTACGATTAGACATATATTCAACCTAGTTGAATTATGTTAATCAAACATTACACGTTACGCAATACGCGTATTAAAATAAAAGTTTAAAAAAGGATCCTTTTTTAAACTTTTTTAATTTTCTTCCTTCCCTCCTCACCCTTTCCCTTCCTTCGTTCCCCTTTTCCTTCGTCCCAGTTTCTCTTCTTCCCCTTTCCCTCCCTTCGTTCTCCTTTCCCTTCCTTCGCTTTTCCCTTCCTTACCCTTTCCCCTTTCCTTTCGTCACTTATCTCTTTCGAAGGTATACATATACCTTCGAATTTTTACTTTTTTTAACAAAACGTTTCACTAACGTTTTCATTTTTTTCTTTTTTAGATTCAAGACGCCCATTTAAAAGGCTCGGGTGGGCTTCTGAAGTATGGAAAAACCAAGTTTTATAAGTACGAAACTTGGTTTATTTATTTATTTTTTTAATTTAGTATATGAACGGTTACTAACTATTCTTTTATTACTTTTTTTTTAGATTCGGCCGTTCGGGTGGGCTTCTGAAGTATGGAAAAACCAAGTTTCGTAAGTACGAAACTTGGTTTATTATTTTTTTTTTAATTTAATATGAACAGTTACTAACCGTTCTTTTTTTACTTTTTTTTTAGGTTCGGCCGTTCGGGTGGGCTTCCGTGTTCCGAAAAACGGAAAAATTCCAAAGATTCGTAAGAATCTTGGATTTTTTTTTTTATTTTTTTAAAAAAATATTATGAACGGTTACTAATAACCGTTCTTTTCTATTTTTTAGGATCGGGTGGGCTTCCGAAGAATGGAAAACCAAGAAACCAAGATTCGTAAGTAAGTACGAATCTTGGTTTAATTTTTTTTGTTTTTTTTTTTAATATATGAATGGTTATTAATAACCGTTCTTTTCTTTTTTTTAGGATCAGGTGGGCTTCCGAAGAACAAAAACCCAAAGATTCGTAAGTACGAATCTTCAATCTTTTTTTATTTTTGATTATTACGAATGGTTTACTAACCATTCTTTCTTTTTTTTATAGGTTTGTGAGCTTCCGAGGATCGGGAAAAGGAGAACTAAGGTTTGTTACGAACCTTGGATTTTTTTTTAATATTATGAACGGTTTCTAACCGTTCTTTTTCTTTTATTTTTATAGGTTCGGTTGGCTTCTGAAACCAAGATTCGTAAGTACGAGTACGAATCTTGATTTTTGTTTTTTTTTATTATTTTGGAACGGTTTACTAACCGTTCCTTTCTTTTTTTTTATAGGTTCGTCCGTTTGGGTGAGTTTCCGAAGAATGAAGAACGGAAAAAACTAAGATTCGTAAGTATTCCGTATTACGAATCTTAGTTTTTTTTTCTTTTTTTTTATTCTTATTATTATGAACGGTTACTAACCGTTCTTATTCTTTTTTTATAGGTTTCGGTGGGCTTCTGAAGAACGAAAAAAAACTAAGATTTGTAAGTATTACAAATCTTAGTAGTTCTTTTTTTTAAAAAAAAGAAACGTTATACTGTATTAATGTTTCTATTTCTTTATTTTGTAGGAACTCCAGGGCTTTCTTTCTCTCTTCCCTCTCACCTTTCCTCTCCTCTTTCGTTATTCCCCGCCATTCCTCTATCTCTTACTTTTGTAGGACGTTTTCTTGGAATTTTCTTCAGCTTCGGTAGATTTCTTTAGTAGAATGTGTAGATCAACATCTTTGAATTGGTAAGTTTTTTTTTTTTATTATTAATTTTGATTTTTTTTTATTGATTTTTTTTATCTTATAATTTGTAGAAATCAACAGTTTCGCACTTCCCGGATCGAATTGGTAAGTTTTCACTTAAAAAC